GACGCAACATCTCTGGGTGCTCCTAGGGAGCAGAGGCCTTTGGGGAGGGAGGTGGAGACCAGAAGAGCACCTTGGGATGTGTCTGTGGTTGTGGGGACTGCCTTTCAGGTTTCCTGTAGGCATTGGGGAATGCAGGATGTCCTGGGTGTTGCAAGCTTCTTGGCATCCAGAAGCTGTGAAGTTTGTGTATCTGTTTGTACAAACATAAATATCTGTACCATAATTACTATTATATTTTCTTTTTTTCTCTCTAATTGACTAGATAATGTGTGAGATGTTTTTCCCAGCCTTTGAAAATGTGCATGATAGTCTAACAGCACCTTTCTCTAGTCGAACATCCCATACAAGATTGAAACCTGCATTTCTGAGTAGCATAAACACACAGTCAGCTGCAGAAGATAGCTCTATTGCTGGGTCCTCAAAGGTAAAGTAAAAAACGTTCGACATAAAAATACCAAAAGTAACACAAGGATCTGCCTGATCTGTGTGATGTTGTCTTTCTGTGCACTCATGTAGGCGCTTTCATGGTAAGCCTGTTTTCTCCATTGCTGTTGGATCTCTTGTTGAGATGTACTTCCTCAGAAAAATAAAAGAGTAAAACTCTTTCTTCAGAAAATAATGTGATGCCTTCATGTGGGGGTCGATTATATTTGTGGGTGGTTTTTTTCCACTCAGGATTTTAGTATGACAAGAACATAATTTCTAGAGACAGGAGCTGTAGGGAGAGAAGTGGCTCTATTTTATTGTCCTGGAGAGTGGCCTTCTTTGATATGGACCTTTCTCCTTTGCTAAGTCCATTGTGGGGACACGGTTCTATTGCCGAGATATACAACTAATAGAAAAAACAAAGCAAAATTGTCTCATGATGTATATAACTGTTGTTAATTTTTTTTAGGATACTGTGTTCAGGTTAACAAAAACCCCATCCCAAGACTCTGATGTATTTAGAAGCACTGATTCTCCTGTTTCCCATCATGTTCTGGATCTCTATTTTGAAGATAACAAGAAGTCTTTGGGAGCTATTCTCTCCAGTTTACCTGGGGTTGGCTTAAAAAGAAAGCTGTCCAGTGATACGAGGGATTTACAAAGCTTGGATGTCCCCAATAAGATGCCTAAAAAAGGTTTGTGTTGTGACTTAGAAAGGGAATTTATTTTGCGTGTACTGAAAAATGGTAAACTACTTTTTTCCTCCTCCCCCCCCTTTTTTTTTAGGTGTCAATGAAACATTCCCTGCAGGGATTGGAATAATATTTTGTTGTCTGGTGTGTCTGTCTCTGCTGTAACAGCCTATTTACCTTTTTCCAGAACAGTTTCAAGTCATTCAATAAACATTATTTTTCTTTCTCATATGGGCCATGTCTAATGTGTAATCCACTAGCAGTTTAGTCTGTGTTGCTGGTGCCGTTTCCATTTTCTAGGTCTCTGAGGTATACATGTACTTCATTGTTTTTCTATATGAAGGAAAGATATGCAGTAAGCCTGGAAACTAATCTTTAACTGGCATCAGAAACAGTCACATGCAAGTTGACATTAAATATTCCAAGCAAACAAAGAATCCTTTTAAAGGGTAATAAGCCCCCCCCAGTTTTCTGTTACTTGATAGCTGTGCTTACAATTGCTGTGCTTCTCAAGCTTCTAACAAAGACCTCCAGAGTGGAGGATAAAAATGCTGAAGGCGATGTGTTGCACTGAGTGGTAAAATAATTGGTTAAAAGGGACTTTGAAACCGCTGATATACTAGTGTGCATTTTTTCCCTTAAAGGAAAAAAAAGACCCAAGCCACACCTCCTTGACAAATCTGACTTCTGCCTTGAAATATTAAGTCTTCAAGTGCTGCTGTCTGTCTGCCACCTCTGCAAATGATCAATGTACGGCCAGTTGCTGATCACCTTGCTGTGAAGGGAAAAACCCTCTACGTGTCTGTGAACTGCAGACTGAGTAAATAGATTGTGAAATCTGACCCGCCTGTGCCTTCACAGCGAAGGCCAGAGATCCTGTTTTACCCATAACCATTAATTTCTGGTCTGTGCTAGGTCCCAATGCCATGCTACTATTTGCAGAATTAACGCAGTTAGGTTCTTGCTATTACTAAATGCTAACATGTGAGATGTAGGTTAAAGATAACACTGTTTTTCTTTGTAGGCCACTCAACACCAGTGCCCTCTCCCCTGTCCTGTCTGTGCTTGAGATAAACCAGATGCTGAACATAAGCTATCCTTTAACAAAACATCCTAGTGTTTTAACCTAACATAAAAAGCTGAGCGTTTGTTTTTAATGGTCAAGAATTTGGCTAATAAAAAGGATGTGGAGGCAGCATTCATGGCTCTGTTGCAACTCTCACTGGGCAACAAAGATGCAGATTGTAAAAGAAGTTGCAGAATCTGTTTGTATAAATGTCATAAGAAGCTCAAGCTGATAGCTCTTGAACTTAGATGCTACTGCTGTGAAGTTTGAAGCCCATACCCTTTTATGCCTGTTAACTACAGGGAGACATACCAGCCCCAAAAACTAGGGTGGGCAGAATTTTAAGTGAAGTGTTTTGTCTTTGTGTTTGCAGCGTGCTGAGCTGGTGAAATCAGTATTAGCTAATGCAGCTCCAGTATTCCTTAAACTTTAAGCTGACTGAAATGTGGGATTTCCACAGCAGCCTAGTCTAGAAGAGCATAAGCTTTTTTAATACTTGTAAGAAAAATTGCTTCTGCTGAAAAATCTGTAATAAACATTGATGAACTAGTTTGTGTGTAAACAAATTAAATTCTGGACTTGGTGTACTCTAAAACATCTGGCCTGGCTGGTGTGGGAGTGGTGATGGCAGTGGGAAAGCAATAGTAGAGTATTTTAAAAACTAGACTTTAAAAAAAACCCAAACCCAACCATTTTTGGAAAAGCAAATCACGGGTGTTCAGCTCTAAAGTGCTTTCTCTGGCCATAGACATCATCCTCTGCTCTCCAAAAGATTTTCTGCCAGAAAGTCTAAAACTTAAAAGGGAAATATGTTTATTTGGAGGAAAACTTCAAATAAAAAAGAGAGAGAAATTAGGTTCTTTATGGAAAAACAACTTAAACAGCATCTGAAACTGCAGTAATACTTCAATATTTACTGTAATCTTCTTCTTAACTATACTTAGATGCAGATGTTTTACCTGAAAACACAATCATCACTTCAGGAGAGGTACCAAAAACTCTGGTGGATGCATCGGACTTTGAGTGTTCCCTCTGCATGAGGTATGACTGCATTGACCTGGGATTAAGATCAGAAAGCCTTTCTAGCTTCTGAAAAAAAGTTTTTGTGGTGTCAGAAGGGAAACCTGCCAAAGAATGTCTAAATTATTACTCTGTTCCTTCTTACTGAACTTTGCATCTGGTGAATCTTTACAGATGTGGTTTTCTCCATTATGGATGGTTTTCTCCATTGTTTACCACTTCTAAAAATTAAAACCTTTTTTATATCCTTAGATAAAACTGCCACCTGTGATTTATACAAAAGAAGGAAAGGAAGAGGTGGCTGGATCTAGTCACTCCTTTCCACAGTTGGGGAATCTGCATTGTTTATGTTTGCAGCTTAGCTTTTTTGTTCCATGTTTTCATGTTCAGGTTGTTCTATGAACCTGTTACCACTCCCTGTGGACACACCTTTTGCCTCAAATGCCTTGAGCGTTGCCTTGACCATAATCCGCATTGCCCACTGTGCAAAGAAAAGTTGTCAGAAGTAAGTATGTCCTTGCCCTACTTAACAAGAAAATACAAAGCTTTGTTCTTCTGAAAGCATGTATGTGGGGGTTTTCCGTACTCCACTCGCAGACCAAAACAACACCGTAGTACCTGCAGCATCAAGCCATGCACAGACCTCATTTGGTGCCGAATATGTTTTGTAGTTTGTTGGAAGACAAGTGGGGTTTGCTGGTGCTTAAACAAATAGAGTCTTCCAGTATCGCATCGGGCTCGTGCCTGGGGAGTCCCAGGCATAGCCCTCTTCTTACCACCTCTTCAGTCTGTATCTTTACCTGCGCTGAATGAGGAATGGTCATTCCTTGGTCAAAACTTCTGCTCCTGCAGACATAACGTGTCTCGTATGTGGAGTACTTTTGAGGAGCTGTAACCTGGCAGCTCTAGGTGAAAATAATAGATGTATCTTCTGCAAAAGCTAGGAGGGCCTGCCTTTTCTTGGTGGTAGTACAACTTCTGCCAAAAAAAGAGCATGGGTTTGTAGTTAAATGGGCACTGGAGTGAACCTCGTATTCTAAAGTAGAAGTTTTGATATCTGAAGGCTGGAAAGAAGGAAGGATTGGTATGGTCCTGAACTAATGTGCTGTTTGGCATGAGGAAAGGGGATAGATTGGGAGGAAGAGCTGTTACTGACTTCTTGTAATCATACTTAGGAATTGACTCTTCCTTGCAGTTTCTGGCAAGCAGAACTTACAAGAAGACTGTCCTTACAGAAGAACTGATAGTCCGTTACTTGCCAGAGGAATTATCTGAAAGGAAGAAAGTTTATGAGGAAGAAATGAAGGAATTGTCAAAGTAGGCTCTGTTTTTACTACTGACAGCTGTTATAAAAATATATCTTTCATCTAAATTACTGAAGAAGCTTCATTTGCTTATGAAAATGCACAAAATGAATGAATTGTAGATGAACCTGCCAGATGTTTGTGTGTTTGACGTGTTTGTTGCAGATAAATAAGAAACAATATGCTTGGATGGTAGAGAGGCACAACAATATTCGTAAAAAAGATATTTTTTTTTTTTTCTCTGAAACAATATAATAGCTTTAAAAGTTATAACGGGTTTTCTGGGAGTAGAAGTCCAATTATAAATGGGTTATACTTCAGGTCAGGAGAAGTTCAAGTATTCAGTGTGGTCAGTGACTTGTGGATCTTGTGCTACAATTTGGCTAAAAAGAGAAAGAAAACATGCAATCAAGCCTGAAAAAGCGAACATGAGGATTATTGGGCTTCTTCAAAATGAAAGGGCTTTACTGAGTTCTCTACCACCTTGCTTCAAACATGGTTAGTTCTTAGGTACTGTATTACTATAAAAAGTTATCACCAAAATCTCGCTACTTATATTTAAGTACTGATATACACACATTTGGGAAGTTGGCTGTTATTTCCTGATTTTTCCTCTAGAAAGATAGATGAGAGGGATTGTTCCTTTAATGTACTAACAGAATGAGTCCTGAAATATGTTTGCTTGTAAAAAGGACAAACTTTGATCAGGTGCATGTTTAGAGTATAAAGAAACCACTAGACTCAGTGTCGTATTAAGGGTTTATGCTGAATATAGCAGTACCCAGAAAAAAAGATTAACTTAATTTTTAACAATTATCTTGCAGTTTAAATAAAGATGTTCCCATCTTCGTATGTACCATGGCCTTCCCTACCATCCCTTGCCCACTCCATGTCTTTGAACCTCGTTATCGTCTAATGATAAGAAGATGCATGGAAACTGGTACCAAGCAGTTTGGCATGTGCTTAGCTGATGAATTAAAAGGGTAAGGAGATGAGCTGAGAATGTTTTTAGTTTTGTACATTCCTTTTAACACAAAGATGTAATTTTTATTGCTCTTCTGTGGGATGGATGGCAGGAATACAACTCATCCTGCTACTATGGGCTCCAAAAATAGCACTTAATTGTCTGTGTAGTTGGAAAGCTTTCTAGCCTGTTTGTTCTAGCAAAAGCTGACTGTCTGGATGAGGTTGTTCCTCTTGTCTGCTCAGTTAAAAAAAAGAAATCCAAACCTTGCATAGCTTTCCTGCATAGGTGGTATCACTTGAGTGAGACAAAGTATACCCTTGGCTAAGAAGCCTGTTTTACTGCTGAATGTTGAATTTTTATGTTTGTCTTTAGTGCTGTGTTGCAAGTCTAAACTATCTACAGTGAGTGGGTTACACTGTATTTCTTCATTATCTTACTTTTAGTTTATTTTTGTGGTGTGTTTCCAGCTCCCTATGTAGAGACTGAATACTAGTCATTAGATGAGAACCTTCAGGTTTTTAAGTCGTTTATAGATAATAGGTTTTGGGGTGAAGGTGATACGAAGATGCTTGTGGGGAAAAAAAGAGGAGGTCTTAAGAGAGGTCTACCTTATGAAATGTAATAAATAGTTGCTGACTTTAGAAGATACATTGGCATGATGCAAACAGTAGAGTGGATGACCAGCGTGGGAATTTTTTGAGAGCATATTAGATAGGTATCCTCAGGAGCAGCATTTTTGTAGGTGATCGTCACTGGAGCTGAGAGGAGGGCAGTCATACTGGGGGTTGGCAGCCTTTCCTTGTCCAGTTCAGGTTTTTTTTTTTTTTCTCCCAGACTGGACGATAGGGTGGCACAAAGAATACAGGAGATGCTGCAGCTTCCAGTCAGCTCTGGCTGTGTTTCATGCCATTTGACATGTTATCGGTGCTGCACTCGGTGGAGTTCAGGCTCCAACAGCAGTCCCTTCCAGGACTGTTATCAATTTTCTGGAAGAAAATGGTTGTGAGGACAAAGTGACCCTAGGACATCAGTGATAACTCTGCTTACGTCTGTGAAGGCTTGTGGAAGACCTGAAGTTACTTGGAGTCAGGTCTAATACAGACGGCCAAGGGGTTACAATCCCAAAACCACAAGAATTGATTTATTAGATAGTGTCATAGAGGGTATTTTAAAATGCAGCCAGTATGGATAGATTTTTATCTCATGTCTGTTTTGAGTTACTGAAATAATTAAACATTTTAAGCATGGTAACTTGTACTGAAGTCAAACACTGAAACACAGGAAGCCTGCATATGTAGACACCTGGCAGGCTGTTGTAGCTTCTTACACAAGTAAAGCAGCTCTTTTGTTTATTCAGAATTGCAAAATCAACTGGGAATAGAAAAAGTATGGAAACTTGTTTGCCTCATCTACTAAGACATGGATGTGAAAGGCTGAGATACATACGTCCCTTGAAAAAGAGAGTGACAATACATGTTCAATTAATTACCTTCCTCTGGTTTATTTCTTAATTTTAAATTAAAACTCGGGGAAGACTTCTTTATAAACTTTTAATGGGCCAGTACATTTTATGCCCATGTCCAGGTGCTCTCTTGTCTCTCTTTGATTAAAGTCACTTTCTATCCAAAAGTAACATCAAAGAATGACAACATCCCCCACCCCTATCACTTATACATTAATTTCTAAACTTGGTATGAATGTCACTAAAATCCTTAATTTAAAAAATTGTTATGTAGCTGTTTAAATAGTGTTTAGTCTGATATTGCTGTAATAAACTTACTTCTGATCCAACTGGTAGAGCACTAGGGCTTAGTTGTGTGCAGCTGTACTCTTCTTGCTCTTCCTAAATTTGTTCTGTACAATGGCCAGGAGAGAACAGTTGTTCACAGTGGTCACCCTTTTTTTTTTTTTTTTCCCCTCCCAAACCCATGATTTCTGGTAGAGTAGAAACAGGAGTAATTTCCCTGAAGTGTTACTGTTTCTTTATCACTCTGATGTAAGCAATAGCCAAGCCCTGGTAAAACAAGAGTTTCCCTGATGAAACATTGATCAGACCCCGCAGGGATTTGGTATCTTGAGATGAGACTATGATATGTAATGCATTCTCCTGCTCAGCAGTAGGCTGAGGTGCAGAGCTGCAAATGCTAGCAGATCTATGTGTTGTGGTGAAGAGTCACTGTGCAGTCAGCCTCTCTAGTGAACTCACTACTGCACAAATGCAGAGTAGGTAAGCCCGATAATTTAAAGTAAAAATTTGTTGCATGCTTGTTTCCAGGATGTGATTAATACCTATGCCTACGATACAAATGTCCTTTTGTAAAGAGGGTATTTGGGTTTTTTTTTGTTGTTGTTTGGTGGGTTGTGGGGCTTGGGTTTGTTTTGGTTTTTGGTGTTTTTTTGTTTTTGTTTTTTTTTTTTTTTTTTTACCTTAAGTTGTACAAGTGCAAGAAAAATCTTGCTATATAGAAGCCTTTTCCTTCTAACACCTGTAATCCTCTGCTTACACCTCAGAGCAGGGGGATAGCTTTCCCAGCCCTGTGTTTACTTCTCAGTCTCTGGACTTCCTCATGGTATCTCTACCTGTCTTGTTTTGTTTGAAAACCGTGTGAATTTGCCACTAGCAGCTGGCAACTCCCAGCATGAAACATGCTCCATTTAGTTTCCTGTCCCTTCCCAATCCTCCCACCCCCCCAAATATTTACACTCCAAAGATGCTGTTGCAGTGGGCCTCTGAGGGAAGGCAGAAAGGGTGGGGGTTGTGTGGCTAATATGAATAAGCAGAAATGTGTTGTCACCAAAGAAGGATCCTCTTTCAAATAAAAAGTGGTGAATTAGGCCCAGTATTTGTCCTGATGTGTATAAACGCTTGTTGATGACTTCCACTTTTATGCCCTTCTGTCATTTCAGATTTGCAGATCATGGCTGTATATTAGAGATCAGGGACGTAAAGTTTTTTCCTGATGGGCGCTCAGTTGTTGATACAGTTGGTGTCCGTCGTTTTAGGGTCTTAAGCCATGGCCAGCGAGATGGATATAACACAGCAAACATCGAGTATCTTGAAGATAAAAAGGTGATCTATGGTGCAAAGTTATTCATATCCATGTATTGCTGGATTCAATTAAATGGCCTTTCCTTGTTGCATTTCAAGCTAGCTGTGCATTATTTTTAATCCAGTATCATTATAAATACTAAAGCTCTAGTTTGAAAACCATGGAACCAGCTTTGTCTCTTCCTTCCCTTTCTTCCTTTCTGCCCTTTAATTATCTCTGCTTGAAGTGTTGCACTCCCTTTATGGATCTCAAAGGAGCTTCTGAGACTCAGGTGCTGAGGTCTGTCATGATGTGTAGATGAGGTCAGGGTAATGTTTTAAAACTGGTATGAACTTGGCAGCCCTTCTAAGAACACGTGCCCTTGTTGTTAGAGAACTGACTATTCTTTTCTTGTACTGAATGCAGAATACCTGTTGGTAGTCTTGGCAGACTTTGTATGACCTCCCAGCTCTGGTTTACAGAACAGGTCCTCAAACAAATGTGAGAGTCCACACTTAAAATGAGATCTTAGTGACATGTAGTTACTGTGCCTGTACAAGCATCCGTCAGAGCTGGCTGAGAGCAGAGAAATGTAGGGAGGGGAGTAGTTTTTAAAAACAAGTCCTCTTGTAAAACCTGCATCAAGTGAGGCGCTTGTGATGGGTGTTAGTCAAAGGGTGGATTTTTGGCCATGCTTAATGATGACTTCCTAGAGCATCTTCCGGGCATGTCTATAAAACCCTGATCCCTGTTAACACTTGAGTTCAGTAGTAATTTCATGCCAATTGATGAAGTCCAGTCTGGTCATACAGCTCTGCAGCACACTCTCATACTTGAAGTGCAAGTCCGTAAAGTCTTAGTGGGGCTTTTCTGACCTGTGCAGGATGACACAGTTGTTCACCAGGGCAGGAAAGGCAGATTGTGTGGAGGTACCTCCCCCCTCAAAAGGTCAGAGGAGGTGGTCTGCTCACAGTGAGGGCTCTGCTGTGTTCAGGTCCCCAGTAAAGGGTGGCGGAATGCAGGAGTCCAGGCATTGTTTGTAGATGGTGCCAGAGACACACCTCTTCATAATCAGAGTGAGATTTACCTTGTCTCACTTGAGAGGCTGATGTCTGTGTTCAACACCCTATGTTCCTGTTGTATCTGAAGGTGAGAAATCTCAGACCAAAGCTGCCTATTTTATCTGCTCTTAGATATCTACCTTAAGATGAGATTAATTGCCCTCTAGAGCTGTTCCTCCTTGACTGTGAAGGGCATCTGGAGCAGCTAGCTCAGATGTGCATCTGAGTAGCACAGGTGAATCACAGCATTAGTGTGTGCAGATTACAGGGGAAAACAAAAAAGAAAATCCAACCACCGCAAAGCAAAAAACAAAGAAAAAAAAATCACCAATTTGTAGTGGGTTTTGCTTATGCTTTTTTCTTTTCCCTAATGGCTATAGCCAGGTCTGTGCAACTAAACCACTCTTTGCCTCAGGGAGGGTCCTTTTTTATGGCCGTTCCTGGTGTTGGGAAAGCATCCACTTTCCCGGTTTCCTGTCTGCTCAGGTGTCTGCCCTCCTCTTCCTCCTCGGCTGTGCTACTATGGCCTTAATGCTTATAAAATACTTCTGATCTCTAAATGCCATAGACCCCCTGTCTCTGTGCTCAGTGGCAGTAGCATTTCTTTTGTTTTGCCAGACGATAGACCAACGTTCAGAGGTCCTTCTGTGACAGGGACTCGAGGTTCTGGGTTTGAGATTATTAATAATGATGTCCCAGGATTAGAGAGCAGATTCTTCTGTTTTGCTAGCATTTAGGAATAGATATTAACAAGGCAGTAACTGCTCCAAGAAATGTCACTTCAGAATACCTAGGGGAGAGTAAAAAGACTCCAGCATTACAGGTTTGAAATCTAAGACTTGGGTACAGTTTGTTTGGATCACGACATTTGAACAGCTGTAGTCACTGCATTATTTTGCTTTGCTTGCTTCTGGGGAAGCTTATGGACTCCACAATATCAAACCTGCTTTGTTCCATCTCTCTTTTCTTTTAACAATAAGGTTGAAGGACCGGAATATGAAGAACTTGTCCGCCTTCATGATTCAGTTTATGATCAAGCTGTTGCCTGGTTTACTTCTCTTAAAGACAATATGAAAATGCAAATTCTCAATCATTTTGGGTCCATGCCAGGAAAAGAACCGGAGCCACAGGTAATAAAACCTTCCTACTTATGCATCCTTACTCTGTACAGAACTTCTACAGAAGACTATTTTCTGACAGGTTTTTGCTGTGGTTTTGTACTTTCTAAGCTCTTATCTACCCAATTTTGGTCTATTAGCATGAAGCATGGAAAACAATTAAAGGAAAGCAATATATCAATGTAAGTTGATATCTGAAGAGATTAGTATTAATGGTGCATGTAGACAAGGAGCGCACCTGAAATTAACTGTTTAGTTGCTGCTTGAACTGTTTTGTGGTGACTTTCTTAGCAAATAGAAGGTGAGAAGGAAGGCAGTGTTCTTCATGGGGCAGTGCTGGTGAATACATGATTGCGTGTATTTCCATCTTTTTGCAGAGCAACCCCAGTGGTCCTGCCTGGTACTGGTGGCTCTTGGCAGTGTTGCCTCTGGAAAACAGAGCTCAGCTGGCTATATTGGCTATGACCTCCCTTAAAGATCGTCTTATCGCCATCAGACGCGTATTGATATTTGTGACTCGCAAAAGACCCAGATAACACGGACTTCGGTTGTGAGGGGGCACCGAAAACATCTCAGACAGGTTGTTTTCTGGGAGGGCAAAGGGGGGGGGTTGTTTTTTCTTTTCTGAAGATTCCTTCAAAAAGGAACAGCCCTTTCAGACTGTCCAGCATCCATCGATTGCATTGGTTTGTTATCCTGGATATTCACCAAACCTTGCACTCTCTCCTGTTGTCCTGGTGAAATCTGAGCCTCTACAAAGCTGTGCTACAGTTAGAGCATAGCTGATAGATGTGGATAGTTGCTTCAAAGTACTACGATAGCGTTGATGTTTCTAGCCTGCAAGAGAGTTAAGTACTAGAGTAGCGCCATTGGCCTGCATGTGATTTGGGTTTTCACATGGTAGGAAAAGGAAACTGGACAGTGGATTGAAGAGGTGTTTCCTAGACTTTTTTGAAGGTAGTTAACAGAAGAGGAGTTACACTGCCCAGCAGAAGTATGCATGAAGACTATAACCAACAGTATGCTCTGTTAGTGAATCGGTAGGCAGTCTGTCGTACACCCACATCTCTCTCTTTCCAGTAAATAGCAGCCTGTGAGGAAGAAAAAAAATGAAGCCGTTTGTGGTCAAGGCATCTGAGGATGTTTATCTGAAAGAATAATAGCTACTGAATAAGTACACTGTTTAGTAGCCTTAGGTAATCCCTTGTGTTGTGATTTATGTGCAGTAGCAGATTGAGTGTGTACAAAACGTTTGGAAAAGTGTACTTTGGTTTATTTGAAAAGAAAAATCAAAGTAATCCTAGCTGGTCTTATGGCTAAATTCAAATCAAACGGGCTCCCTTAAGTATGATAAACTGCTGTGAAATGATGATTTCACCCCAAGTACGAGGGAGGTGTGCTGCAGTTTGCTCTGAATGCCTATTCTGCACATGGGACCGGCGAGGATGAAACAAGGGGAGGTTTCCATCTCCCTCTTGGCCTGCAGCGTCATGCCAGCCTCCCGTTACCTTGGAGTGATCTCTGCTGAACGCGTTTCAAACCAAAAGTATTGTAGTTTAGTACCAGTTGCTGTAAGTAATGGAAAACAGACCACAATAACACCGTGAAAGGAGGCACAAACTGAACCTATAAAGGCAAGTCTCAATGCAAGCTTAAGTCAGGTGTTAACCTTCATTTGTCTCTTTGATTATTTTTTTAATGTATTGTTTTGTTACTATATAACTTCGATAGCTAATACATTGATTGCTTGTCAGTCAAGTGGTCAACATTTGCTCAACTGCCAATGAAATAACTAACAGTGTTACCAATTCAATTGGCATGGTTTCCTATAAGTAGAAGTGATACTATCAACAGGAAGAAAAAAGTTGACTTGAATCTCCATGTGCTGCAAGCATAGCAAGACCAATGTAAAGACTTGTTCATGTGCAGAAGTCTGGTAAGAAGAAATGGCTGTTTACCTGAATGGTCAAAGTGCCTGTTTTCTTTTTTAGTTCTTTTGTCCTTATTTGTCAGTGAAGATGTATTTAAACTTTTTTTTCAATTTGCACATGAGTTCTGGAAGAAGACTGCATTAAAATGCAGCAATCAAGACATATTACCTGCTCTCTTTAGGTATTATCGTCGTAACCTATGTGGTCTGGGAAACAAAAGTACACAGTTTTTTTCCTTTCAGCAAGTGGCTACCACAAATGGTTTCTGTAACATACCCTGAATGTACTGTAACTGCCTCTACCTTGAACACGCCTTTTCTATTTAAATAGTTTGTAAGTATATTCTCTGAATTGTGAAGTGCATAACTTACAACCAATGATGTCATAACTTCTACAGTAGCCTTCTGCAAGTTCTGCTACCATCACCAAAATACTCAAAATTCAAGTTGAATGCATTTCCTCTAGGATTTGAAAGTGATGAAGAGAAGTCACTGAAGTATAAGCGAATTGTTCTGTAGATGCGGGAGGAAATGTCAGAAGCCAGTAGGTTTTCAGCCCACTGTCAGCTGAGCTACCGAAGGGTGGTTTTGCAAACTAATTCTCAGACCAGAAGATGGACTGTATTTGATCTCGCAATCCTTTCTGTTCAGCTGCCTGTTCTTCCCATCCCTTTCCATGCTGTGTGTTTCTTCTAGACTCATTCATCTCGGTCCTTTGTGTGTCTGGCCTAGTTTTGAGTATTACTAGTTTAGCTGCAAGGGGCTACTGATGGTATTTGTGTATTGCTGGTCCCTGATCTTACATGTGCTTAATTTTACATATAGGAGTGCATTTAAGAAAAAAAAAATATCAAGGTGCTAGTTAGTGTCTTCTTGGCTTTGCCTCAGTAACTAATGTGAATATTCTTCTTTGCAAAAGTGATTTTTTTTCAAGATATCTACTTTTGAGGTACTTCTGAGAGGAAACCCTACAGAAAAAGAGAGGCTGTCTACTGCTGTTCTGTAATGTGTAAAGACATATTTTACATGGAAAGCAACATTACTGTGTTCATGAGGGCCTGCATAATTAATGGAATGATAGTTATCAAAGAGAAAGCTGAACTGTAGAGGGATTTTTTTTTAGTCAAGGTTTAAAGCGGTTTGTGAATATTTCAGTGACTGATGTTTTGGATAAATGATAACAACACAGGAATTGTCTGTGTGTGGATGCAGATAATCATATTTAGCAGTCCAAAGCTGACATTTCTTCCAAAACATTGAATGCTGATGAAATAGCAAAGCTTTAATTAAAAGTAAAAATCACCACTGCCCTGTGGTACTTGCTTTCTAAGGGAAAGTACCGATTTCATTGTTACCAAATTCTCTCTGCCATATAATCTCTACAGCATCCAGTAGTACCTCATGGGAAAAGCTAGGTATCTCGTCTCTCTCTAGAGGAAATGTCCACGTTACGACCGATTTACGCTTAGGTGTAATTTGTCGCTAAGGTACATGTGGAAGCGTGGAGCCGAGCTCCTGGAAGAGATAGACAGGATTTGTTGCCTTTCTAGCTCATTACACTTTTCTTGCTTGCTGTCCAAGCAAGGATGCTGGGATATATGATGAGTCTTTTCACTGTGGTGAATGTGGCCCTTCTTTATACACCATAAAGAGGCCCAAAAAAAAAAAAAAATCCCTCTACCTCTACACCTGTTGTTCACCTGTAAAGCTTCAAGCTACGAAATGATATATATATTTTAACCTTTTTTTTGTCTTTCAGAAGCATACTAATTGTTTGCCACTGAGGCCTTTTATCTACTGTATTTTAATATGTTCATTTGATAGTCATCGAGATCTCTTTGTACTTCTAACCTGTAGATCTTGTCATGTTTCTTACTGCTCCTTTTTCCTCGTTCTCCAGTCCACTTTTAAATTGATAAATAGAAAGCTGTACACTCTCTATTCCTATTACATTTTACACTAGTGGAACTGGTATTTTGGTAGCGCCTTAATTTTGCAGTTGTGAAATGATTGTATCAACTCTTATCTGGGGCTTCTGACCAGATTTAAACGAGTATGTTTAATGTAGATAAACTTGAAACCATTTTTTACTGTTTTAAAGCTAGTTATGAAATGGAGTGTGTACATATGTATAAATATAAATTATTAATCTGCACCTTTTTGTATCTAGTAAATACAGGAGAAGTTCATGTTCTAACCACACTTGGCACTTCTTGTTGCATAAGCAAAGCCAAAACTTTTTTTTAAAAAATTGCAATGTTCATTTCATGTATATTTGCAATATTCATGGGAAATGTATTTAATTTATGTGATATTTGGAATAAAACAGATTAAATTTATAAGAGTGTGAGTTCATGGGAAAGCTTTTATTGCTCTGTAAGGGCTGAGAGTTAGAGCTGTTGTAAATATGGTCTAACCAGAAATAAGCTGCTGATCTGCTGCTGTCAGAAGGCAGATGACAGTTTGATTTCCCTGACAGGAGCCCAAGGGATGAGAATGGTCCCTGTGAGGTTTTAAGAAGCAAATCGCATCCCAGAAGCAGTGGTTAGATGTTGCAGTTCATAAGTTGCCATGGCGAAGATTTTAGCCCTGGGGAAGCTGCAGTGGGGTTTGCTGGGGACCTGGGGCAGCCTGCAGTGCTGGGTGTGAATGTGAGGAAGGGGGAGCAGGAGGTCTCCAAAATGGGAGGGAGGTAAGGAGCCCTCAGCAGAGGTGAGACAAGGTAGATGGACCTCTGGGGTGAGATGTGACAAAAATGGGAAGAGGGGTCATGTAGCTGGCTTCTCATTTTGTAGCTTCTTGGATTGACAGGGGTTTTTTTTTTAGGCTGAAGTATAACCTGGCTGGCCCCACAGAATAAACTCTGAAAAATATGGTTATGATTAAGGACACAAAATGCTCTAATGACTAAGCCTGGTGAAATAAAATACCTTTGGGGTTCTGTGAGGTGGAGGCGATGTTCCACACTGAGGTGCTAGCCACAGCTGGCACTGGCACGGCAGGCAGGCAGCAGCCAGGCAGCAGCAAAATGCAGTTGTGGGAGGGTAAAGCCAAGCCACGTTGTGGAGAGCGTATCCCATCCCTCAGCTGCATCTCGCTGCCAGCTGAGCAAAACCACTCTGAAGGCGTTTTTTGTAAATATTAGCCTTTTTTTTTCTTTTGGGGGTTGGATTGACTTTGGCCTTATTCATGCTGCCTTTGTGCCTGTATTCACTGGATGTCAGAACAAACAAACATCAGTTATAGGACTGCTTTTCTAAAAGAAGTTGCAAGTGTGTGTTGGAATACTCAGGTAGGTGCTACCTGAGCTGTTTTCATACGGTAGACAACAGCTTTCTTTAAACATCACTCATCAAAGGATGGAGGTGGGGAAAGAAGACTGATACACCTTTTTTAGTTATCCAGATCCTTGTGTGCCTCAAGCTGTCTTGGTGTCAGGACCACC